CATTTGACAGAACGTGAAAGAAATGTTCAATCTCAATTGATATATATTTTATTATTGTTGGTTACAACGAAAAGGATTATTAGGTTAAAAAAAAAAACTATTAATTGTCCTGTGTTGCATGAATGTTATTTGAAACATTTCCATATATTGAGAAGCAAAACTATTGTTCTGATTAGGTTAATTAGTCTCTCTGAGGTTCAATATTTAAAGTGCTATGTGCAACAGTTTGCCTCAATCTTCAGAGAATCCTCAGAGATTATTATAATGAGACTCGATTAGGATCTTTACCTTCATCTTGTATCATCTAATTCATGATATAAAAAAATTTTTTTTGTATTCCTCTTTTTCACTAGGAAATTGGCGTTGAATTTTTTTATATTTGGTCTTACAAAAAACATTCTTAAAGTATCCATATGCTACTAACAAAGTAGGGTTTAAAAATAAAACATTTCAAATTTTACTATTTTCAAAGGATACCTATTATAGAAATAAAAATTCCTAGATTTTGAAATATATTGACTTTTATGAGAAATAAATTACAAAAATACATGTTAATATCAAAGTACTGATGATTTTTTCAGTCTAAAGTATATGTTGAGAAATGTGCTTATCTACTACTCCTACACATTGGAACTGACGACATTTGAAATAGATCCAAGAAGTTTTTTTTTTCACATAGCTAAAGAATGGATAACAGTTGGGAATAAGAAACACTGATGGTGTGCAGAATAGTTTGACAATTATAGAAAGTATACAGAGTGATCCAAAAGTTACCGGGCAGTCAATCTTTGATTTTGAATAACTTTTGATAGGAATAAGATAGAGAGCTGCAACTTTCACCGTTCGAAAGAGAATGTATTATTGCATAGTTCCATGTATTATTCAATGGTCTTGTCTGATGATGAAATGGTGAGTCTTCGAAAAAACAGTAATAGTTCTATGAAGATGGCAGCAAAGATCATTTTCCAAGAAGTGCACTAGATCTTCGTACTTACGATCTATATCTACAGCCTGATCATCTAGTGTCGCATCTATAACTTTTAAACGAAACAAGATAAAAGTTTTGGGTATGGGCATGAGCGTGGATCGTAAGTACGCGGATCTAGTGCATTTCTTGGAATTGAACTTTTATGCCATTTTCATCGAGCTATTATTGTTTTTTTCGAAGACTCACCATTTCATCATCAGACAAGATCATTAAATAATACATGGAACTATGCAATAACATATTCTCTTTCGAATGGTGAAAGCCACAGCTCTCTATCTTGTTCCTATCAATAGTTATTTAAAATCAAAGACTGACTGTCCGGTAACTTTTGGACTACCCTGTACAATAATAAGCATAATCTAAAATTTCCATAAGAAATAGGCACATATAAATCTCACTAAATTCATAAACAAAGTACTTTATAGTTGTAAGGATGGTGAATTGAAAACATTAATTTTATATCTGTATAATTTTAAAAGTGTCATTTTGTATTAATAAGTCTTATTTGATAATAATCTCTAATTTATATTGATTGTTTTACTAAATAAAACATTATTGAACTAAATATAAAATACTGTTGACAAATTTAATATAATTAATCATGGAAGAAATAGTTATTCCTAATAACTTGCGAGATATTGCTGGATCATCGATGAATTTTCAAGAATTTATAAATGAACAAGCAACAAAAATCATATCACTAAAATATGTTGAATTATGCAGACAATATCCCAATCTGTTTCAACTGTCTAATGGCCAATTGATCCGTAATTTGTTTGTTAAATGACTGTCATTCGTATAGGATGGTTTCAACTCAGAAAGTATAGAACGAGCAACAAAGTTTTTGGATATACCTGAATATGAAGTTTTTTTGCCAGGTCATTTCGTATAATACACCAATATATTCAATAAATCAACCAATGATTAATATTTTCCAAAGTAATGATTTATTTATGTCAAGAGAATAATATGATTTGATATTACAAATATTTAATGTTCATTCAATATCAAGTGAATTACCTTAATTAATTACATCATTCGATAAATTTTTTAATAATTTAAATAATCTTTTTTTCTTTCATTGGTATATAGATTAAATAAACTTGAGTACTATATGAAAACTGTTGTATAAATATATGTGAAGCAAAAGTTTCGTAATAATAAATATTGACTTATAATTTTAGTGCTAAGATACATCAAAAGGATATAGTTTAGATGGAAATGAAAAAAAGCACATCTAAATAATTGATTTAACGAAAATGAGTATGAATGTATAGTAGTTTTCTTCTATCAAAAATACCCTATTGCTTATTAAAGATTTCTCTTCTACTTTAGCTGTATATTTTTTTTCAATTACATTTTAGTTGGTCACATCTTATCGATTACTCGAAGTTTCACATTGCTGGTGAATGTCTGAAAATATGCCTTTTTTGATAAAGCTAGTGTATCATCAGGTCAAGATGTTGATTTGTTTTGTATGGACGTTTCATCCAATGATTATTTAAATTCTGTAGTAACTTGATCTTCTTATATTATTTGTACAAAATTTATTTATTTATTTATATTAGAAGCAAATTGAAAATAAAATGCGACAATATTTTTATATTAAACGAATAAACAATAAATCCAACAAAATAATCAATTTACTGTTGTTCATTAATCGAATAGTTGAAAATCTTCTTCAACAAACATAATTTGTTAATCTTCAATTCACTTTTATAAAATCAAGTTATTCATCCGATCAATTACTAACAAATTTTGACATTAATGCAATATAATTTTCATTTAATGTGTAAAACTTTACAAGCTATAATGGCAGCCATAGATGCAATACGAACGTCGACTATTATAAACTACACTTTTGATAATGACGATAAAGACTATGCACCTATTGCTATTCGAATTAATAAATATGTTAAACTTAGTTTTAAATATTTAACACCACTTCATTTCAACTATAGACGATTCGAAGCGTCACACATTCATAGTAGCCATCGAGATATTCAATTACAGATCCAATAAAACAATACTTATGAACATCAATCTCATGTTGAGTTATCATGTGACGATGACGATAGTGTAAATGAACATGAAGATCGAAAAATAGTTTTTACTAGAAATTATGACTATTTCCACGTTCAAGAAAAGTTTCATTTACAATTATTATTTGGCAATCAATAGAGAATTTAATATATAGTTTAAATTTCACTATAACAAATAAAAAACTTTACTAATACAATATGCTCAAGTTATACAACTGTTGTATTTAAGGCTGCCTCCCTCTCCAAAAAGTCGTTTTTCGTCAAAAAAATGATTTTTGAGAGAACTATACAGAGATGTCGCTTTTAAGGTCCCTACTTTAACACGTTGACTGTTCGGTGCATCATATGTGATGTACGATACTTTAGACTGAGACGTCTCGTGCCTCACATATAATGCATGCGCAGTATATGATATTTGAAGCTAGAATTTGTTAGACGCAACTAACTGACTGCATTTGAACTATTGAAACGTATCGGTACGATGTAAAGAAGTATTCTAGTTCTAGATTGAATCACATATGATGCACTGGACATAATAAAATCCTAAAAAGCATAGCACTTTGCTTTTATTTGAGAAAAAAAAGTGAATGCTCAGTTTCAGATGCTTTTTATTAGAAAAAAAGTGTTTCAATATAAAAGAAACTTTTCTTTTTTACCAATTTAAATGAAAATAAAAGAATAGTCACAAATTCCAGTAATGATGTTTAGTGACACTCATTAAAGCAACCTAACCAGAATGGTTTCTTGCATTGTCAACATTTTGTTGAGGCTTGTTTGCATTTTTTTTCTTGCATAAGAAGTACTATACGATTTCCTTATTTTTTTGATAATATTCATAACATCTTTTCCTACTTATAATCCCATTCTCTTTTCTTGGAATTTCTTTTAATTGATGAGTTTTATTGGTATTGTTATCAGTAGAAGTTTCAAGATGTTGTTGTAGTACCAAATAATTAATTAAATGTTCAACAAATTGTAATTGTCGTAAAGGTTTTTTCTGGATACAATTCATTGCATATAATACTAATATTTACTAATACGGTACCAAAAATGAATTCTACAGCTAATTTTTTATACCATGTGAATGATTTTCTTGGTGAAGTATAATAGCTGCTCATCTGATCAGACAAGTTAATCCCTTGCTTTCCTTTGTTGTAGTCTTGAATTATTTTCGGTTTCGTTACCAGATTTCTAGCTCTGTCTTTTTCAGTTTCAATAAGATCGTTCCCATGACACATCGATAACATTAAAACATCTCGTTTATCACACGATTTGATTACTGTTATATTCGATGCTTGCTTGGCTATTACTTCACCTTTTTTTAATTTGTAATTTATTAATTCTTTTGGAATATCCTTTCGATTTTTTCTCAATGTTCCACATAGATCAGTATTATGTTCTTTTAAATACAACGCCAAAGGAATGCCTGTATAGAAGTTATCTGTTATAAAAAGTCCTCCTTCATTTAAAAGATCTTTTCCCAAATTAATGACAATCGAACAAGGCTTGTCTAGTCCATCTGTACGTGGATCCTGTCCAGAGTGAACTTGGAATGACCAAACAAAACCGTTTGGAGTACATAGTTTGTATACTTTTATTCCATACTTATGCGTTTTTGAAGGATTGTACTGCCTAAATTTCAGTCTTCCACGAAATAAGATCATAGTCTCATCGATAACAACTTTATTACCTGGAATGTATAATTTTTTAATATTTTCCATTACAAGATTGATCAGCAGATTTATTTTAAATAAACGGTTTTTATCTTCTTTAGAAAGAGAATTATCAACACAAAACCAACATTGTAATATTGCAGAGAACATTTTGTAACTCACGTCAATCTTATGCAACAATGGATGATAAAAAATATCATTTTTCTTTCAGTAGTATTCAATTTTTGGATATCTTAATAAACCCATAAATAGTATAATTCCCAAAAATTTTTTCATTGTGTTGCCATCTATATCTTTCTATCTATTTATTCTACTTGATTGTGTAAATTTCTTAGAATTTCTCATATAATTGGCGTAACGATTTGTTTCTGTTACCATTAATTGTATAACATTATCACCAATTATAGCAAAAAATATATCAGATGGTGTAATTTTTCCTTCGAGACCGGTAGCAGTAAATTGAAATTGTATACCTTTACTTCCACTAAATACTAATCTAGTTAAATTTTCAACTTTAGAAATCTCGTTTAGATTAGAAGTGTCCATATCCATAATGCAATCATCTTCTGTTTCGACGCTCCAATGACAGTCTGCGCCTCTACGAGACGCCTTCCACTAATCATTTTTCAATTATAATAAGTGGGTTTGGTAACTAATGTAAAGAGCTGTCTAGGGATAAAAAAATGGTGATGTTTGCTGCTGTGGTTGAAGAGATTGCAGCTCTTCATTGAACATGCCTAATACTCTAAAGATGATTGTTTTAGATTTTTGAGATCATATTTCGGCTATAAAGTCGGAAAGATTCTAGCAAAAACAAACATGATATTTATAGTACTGTTAGAGGATCATATGATATATTAGATGAAGTAGAAAATTTTTTTTTCTTATTATCTTCATATAAAAAGAGATACTATATGATTTTGGTCATGCAAACAATGTAGGACAAAAAATATCGAATATTGACCTTGTTCGAACTTTTTATTTGTTCGTGAAAAATAGTTGATTCCATCATCAAAAATGCTTATCTCAATGTAATCTGTCGTTTGATAAAAGATAGTAGGCGTCCTGCTGAAAAAAATCCTACGGTCCGATTTACGACCATATTACCTCCCCTTCTTTATAATCTATGTAAAATTTATCTTTTGCTTCTTTTGCTAGTTCAACAGGAGTGTGCCATTCGAATTATAAATTTATAATTTTATGCATAATTTGTCTTCTACTTCTTTTCACTGTCTCGAGATTGCTGCGGTATTTGGAATAAAATTTTTCTTTTGCTTTTTTTGTCACCTGAAGAGACGTCCATGTTGTTTTATCATGTTCATTAATATTTGAAGTGGAATTCGGCAACTACTTCACTTCGGCAGTTTTAATACAAATGGAGTTTTTACATTATGTTTTTCGTAGAGTTTAAGAATTTAAAAGTCAGATGCATAGTTCTCAGAAGAAATGAAATCAATTGGTGTCAGTATATTCGACTAGTATGATATTTGGTTTCTTATTTAATCATCAATTTAATGATTTTCTCTAGTTTTTGCTAATTAATGTATCTGCCATGATTAAGAATATATTATATTTTCAAGGTCATAATAATTTAGATCATAGACGAAAAGTATTTATTTCTTCAAAATCCAATGTAAAAGTAAAAATCTAAATCATGAAAATGTACTGATTAAGAAGCATAATTTATTGTTTGTTGTTCGAATTCTTTATTATTTGTTCTAATGATAAAGAATTTAGTATCCAATTATTGTTTGGAATTAGATGATCTCTCATTTCTCTAGCAGATAAGTTTTCATCCGATATTGAGTTTGTCTGGAAAGTGATCAGAAATATAAACTCACATTTTTATAGTCATTTCAGCATACACTCTAAAAAATTTCCGTATCCTAGGAAACCCAAAGGGTTCGGAAACCCAATCGGAAACCATTTTCCGTTTCCGAGAGGGTTTCCGAAGATTGAAAGCGTTTCTGTAAATATCCTTTGGGTTTCCGAGCGTTCGGAAACCCAAGAGTTTCCGACAATACTCAATTGAACACTCTAAAAGTATTCTAGAATACCTTTTTCTTGCTTTCGGAAACCCAATAAGTTTCTCGAAAATTGGAAAGGTATTGTCGAAAACCCATATTACTAGTAAAGATGGATTGGTACCCAAAAGGGTATGCAAAAATACCTTTTCATTTTCTAAATGGTTTCTGAAAATACTCAATGTGAAAAAGAGTATCATAGGATACCGAGATGGGTTTGCGAAAATACCCAATCTAAAAAAAGGGTATCATAGAATATCGAGGTAGGTTTGCGAAAATACCCAATCTGAAATAGAATCATAGGAAATCAAAATAGGTTTCTGAATTTTGTTTTAATACTTAGAAGAGTTTCTAAGGTTTTCAACTTCTCTGGCACCTTCATCAATTTTGTGATTCATATCTCAAAAACCTCGCAAAAGGATAGATGTGGATTTGAACCTTATTTTTCCATATTCTTCCTCATGCTCAGCTTTAAAAATTTTTATGAAACAACAAAACATCGATCTAATTAGTAATTTCATATTGAATAATTCAAAATTGTTCCTGTGTACACAGTTCCACGAAATGTGAAGCCAGATCATGCTTCAGAAATAATGGAATGTTATTTCTGCATTTTACTGTTGATCTTATTCTTCAGAATATAAAAGAGAAAGAGAAATACAATATTAACAAATCGGGAACAAAATAAACTATACAATTACGATACGTCTTTTTTCTTCCTTTTATGATTGAGTTTTGCTAAAGTAAGAATTAAATTGTAGCTATCGTAGATGTCAAAAATTACAAGAGGAATGAATTGCAGAAGTTTTTAGTCTTAAGTGAGAATTAAAGTTGGTTTATTTCTAAAGATTATAGGCTTTCAAATCGAACAGAAAACTTCAACATAAGTCCACATGTTAACAAATTAATGTCATCTATAAGGCATATGAACAATATGCTTTCATATAGCTTTCACAAAATCATAAATCATGGATCTGATACTGTTGTCTTGTCTTCAGTCACTTTCTAGCTTTGTTCTATAATCGAATAAAAAAAAAGGCGTTCAATCTCTAAAGTACAAATAAATGCAAATTCTCTTATGTTTAATTATGATTCCATTTAACTTCAGTGGGTTGTATCGTACTAATTGTGAGATTAGTCGAGGACTAGCGGACAGACGAAGTAAAACATGAAAAACAATGGATCTTTGATATTTTCTAATATTAATAAAATATTATATTCAAAAAAAAACACTGATTTCTGAATATACACAAAATCTTTAATCATACTACAATCTTGTTTATAATTTCTCCGTTAGAGAGTATTTTTTAAAAACCTTTAATATAATTTTACGTTTTGGAAGTGAGTCGGAATCACTTATATTTACATCGCATTCAGTAGAGACTTAGCTGAAAAACAACTTTTATTTTTAGTGTCAGTATAAGAGAAACTTAGCTACAAGTTGATCATTTAAGCGTGCTTTTAATATTCGTTCTAAATTTTATTTAACAAAAGTCTTTGGGACGTCTATTTTGTGGAACTCACGTATCTTTTCGAAGAAAATAGTGAGTATAAGTTTTCAGATCGAGGTTTGGCGGCTCCCCCCCACCCCATTACAGACACATAGCAACGGGAAAAAGAACATTACAGATATACCCCCCATTACAGACACCCCACCATTACAGACAGATCACCATTACAGACCCCAGCAACCGCGCATAAGAGGCTTTAAATTCTACATAATATATCAATGCTTTCATAAATATTCGGAAAAAAGCTATTTTGCAGTTTAAAAATCAGGCATCAGGATAACAAGTTTAAAGGATATACGTGAGTTCCACATTTCAGCTCCGTTGGAGCTGCGCTGATAAGCTTTTATTACGGAATTCGATGATATTATTATATATGAGTATAAAGATGCCTTAATAGTAGAAGAAAGAATAGTTACAATACTTTTTTAGAGATGAATTTTAGCAGTCTACTCACGTGCAGTGTAATGAGCATATTTAGCACTACATATTCAATGAATGATTGCTTATTTTATAAGCCTTTTGGGGTTTGAATGATATCAGAGTGCTCAACTATCGAACAAAACATCAGAATTACTATGCCAGCTGATTCTCTGATTTCTGATTGCATATCTATCGAATAACGTCTCTATAATAGAAGAAAACACTCCACTAACGACACTTTTCCCTACAAGCATGCTCAAAAGCAAAGAGTTTCTTATATAGAATCATTTTCACTTGAGTAAAATATTGATGAAACATATTATATTGATCAAAAGCTTCTACATTAATTCTTCCGCTTTATCAATCAAATCTATCTGAGTATCCGTCCTATTCTCTTCGATTTCAATAATCTAAGATCATATTAATTATGAACTCGAAAATCTGCTTCACTTCAGGAAATATAGTACCTTCATTTCATACCTCGTTCGAAAGCTTACTATTCTTATGACTTTAGTCGTGAATTCATCTCGATGAGGTCTATAATTCATTCGGTTTTACATGAAATGTTTTCATTGCTTACATATCTACTCATCTCAACAGATAGGTGAGTTATTTTAAATTATTTCATAAAATATTTCTAACTTATCATTTATACTTTTCAATACCACATTTCCTCTATCTATTCCGGACGTTTATGTAATTTCATGAATACAACACTATCCCAATTTTTTTTGTTTTTCTATCATAATATGACTCTGGAATTCGGTGAGTTCTGATCCACTAATTGAATTAAAACATAGTTTCACTTTTACTTTTTAGATTCGTTTTATATAGCCGCATATCCCGTGAGTTTATTCCAAATATTAAATTAAAATACACCTTCATTTTAATTCATCGATTTGTTTCGAATGTCGAAAAAAAAGTGTGAATTAATTCAATTTATTAAATAAAAGTACAATCTTTAATTTTTATTTAGAGATTCGATCCGTTTTTATCAATATGTCAGGTGAATTTATTTTAATTACTAAATGAAAATGAAATTCTATTTTTATTTTTAGATTCGTGGGATATCGATAGATCCAGTGAGTTGGAATCAATTTATCAAATAAAAATGAAATTTTGTTTTTATTTTTAGATTCGTGTTATAACTCAATATGTCGGTTGAGTTTATTGCAATTACTAAATAAGAATGAAAGTTCATTTATACTTTGAGATTCGTTGTCTGTCAATAGATTCAGTGAGTTTGAATCAATGAATTAAATAAAAATACAATTTTACTTTCAGTTTTTGGATTCATGTGATATCGTTAGATCCCGTAAGTTCCAATTAATTTATTAAATTAAAATAATATTTAATTTTAGTTTTAGCTTCGTTTTATATTTCAATGCATCATATAAGTTTATTTCAATTACTAAATGAAAATGAAGTTTCGCTTTTATATTTAGATTCGATTTATATATCAATATATCTGGTGAGTTTACTCCAATTACTAAATGAACATGAAATTTTATTTTTATTTTTAGATTCATTTAATATCAATCGATCCGGTAAGTTTAGAATGAATTTTCTACATTAAAGTTCCATTTTTATTTTTAGA